CCCCCCCTCTATCTCTCGCTCTCTCTCTCTCGGTCACAGTTAACACGCTGTCTGAATTGTCCAAAGATCGTCTATTGAGGACAGCGGCTCATTTAGTAGAACTTCATCAGCGTGAGGCCTGATTGTGTTTGTTGAACACAATGAATCATCACACACACACTGACTGCTCCTCCATCCTTCGGGTCGAGGTCCTGACCCGCTCTCGGAGCCGCTCACACGTTAGCTCACACGTTAGCTCACACGTTAGCTCACACGTTAGCTCAGTTTAGACGAGAGAACCAGTTAGTGTTTGTACGATTCTGCTGAAAGGCAGAAAAACAGCAATGAAAACATACAAGTGTTTTCCTTCATCGTAATCTTCTCCATGTTCGTTTATTCCCAGTGTGACCACAATTAGCTGGATGCTTGATTCTGCACGGAGCGTGAAGCGGTTAATTATCTGTCATCTGGTCTGCGATGAATTTCCTGCAGCAGGAAAAACAAACAAACAAACTCTTGGTCAGAAAAAACTATTTCTGACGCTTTAACCAGACGACACAAGTTTCCTTAACAAAATAAAACAGCAACATGTGTGATTATTAACTGTATAGACTCTACAAACTCTACCTGACCTAAAGTGCTCTGGTCCTGCAGGATGTCAGAGCCTCTCCCAGCATGCACTGCAGCGAACAAGAGGGCTTAAACACTTTTCACATTAGTCCGCGAACATCCAGAATAAACATGAGTAACGTTGAGCTCCCACATTTCATCCAGGGCCGATGATTAATACAAGAGCGATCTCTGTTCTCCACGGAGGAAAAAGAGCAGAGTGAGAGCTCTTTCTCTCTTCTCCACCTCTGATCCCACTGGTTCTCAGACGCTGGCACACACACACACACACACACACACACACACACACACACACACACAGACACACACTTGCACACACACATTTTTCAAAGCTGATGTCACCGCGTTATCCGGTCCGCAAAATCCCTCCTCCTGTTTCTCTTTCTCCATCACAACACGATCCAAAACATCCCCCCAACACCCCCTCAGACACACACACACACACACACACACACACACACACACACACACACACACACCCAGACTCCATTCTTTGAGAAGTGACAGTGAGCCAACAGGAGCTGGGCCGCTGGGTGTTGGTCCCTCAGATGAAGTTAGATCATCCATCACTTTCTGTTCTGAGGCCTCATGAAACAAAACAAGTTCTGTTCAGCTCAAAGAAAAACTTCAGGATGATTCAGATTTTTCTTCAGGATGTGTCAGTGTGACGATTCTTATATATATTTTCTTTATTATTAATCTTCTCTTGTGTGTATGTTTTATATCGTCATGTGTGTATCATAGGATGGGAAACACTTTTCTGACCCAACGCTTAATATTTCATCTTTGTTATTTTTTCAGATTGTGTTTTTTTTTGTGTCTTGACCTACGACCTCTGACCGATCAGCTCCAAAAGTTAATCATCCCTTTTTATACTGAGTCGACTGATTTATACGTGACGTCACTAAATTCTGCATGTGTGGGTGCAGCAGCTGCTTTTCACCACAGAGGCGAGAAGAAGATGAAAATAAAAGTATATTCTGAAGAGCAGACTGATATTTTTGTTGTTGTGAGCACTTGTGGTCGGGGGAAATTTCCCAAACGTCGTTGTGCGTCTCATGACCGTCCGTCTTTCAAAGTTCTCTTCCCTCAAACACACTTGTGACTTCTCTGTTGGTCTGATGAGGCAGATCCTCCAAACTCTGCACATGAATTAGACTTTTGTTCTCCTTGACCCCGAGGCCAGAACCACGTTTCCTGTTTGACACAAATACACGTGAACACGTCGGTCGACAAGGAAATATCACAATGTTTGTTTTATTTGTTGCTGCCTCATTTGTGACCCCGACTCAGATGACGGGACCGTTTGTTTTGCAGTGGCCATAGTTAAATAAATACCCAGCTGCGTTTATAGACTGTATATAAAGAGGTTTATTCTTTGCAAGACGAATCAACGGTTGTTCCACCCATCGGCTGTGAATAAAGATGGAGGAGATTATCTGGATCTGCTCCAGAACTCATTGGGTTCTTCCTTGGGTCACGCCCCACCCCTCAACTGGGTTGAATGGAAATTGGTTTAGTAATTTTTTATGTAACCCTGACAAACAAATGCAGAATGAATAATATAAATATAGAGAATAGAATGAGATGTGCCGATTAAAATACTGAACTGTGCAGTGAACAGTTTCTTGACACTTTGAAAAATAAATAAAGATATTCAGATGTGTAGGAATTGAATGAAGCGCTGTGATTTTCTCTGGAGCCAGTGAATGTGATTATCATCAGAACCTGTGAGCAGATAAATGAATCTGAGTCCTCTCACCGGCTGGTTTCACACAAACAAAGGCTTTTATTGTTGCTAACGAATGCTAATGAGCAGTCATTTGCATTGGAAAAGCAGGAGATGCTTCCACATTTATATATATATATATATATACTAATATATATATATATATACTCTATGTGTTCATGCCAACATTTGACACCGATAACATTGACAATCTGTAAACACTGAAAGAAACGTGAAGTGATGAACACCACCGTTTTTCTAGCCTCACTTGTCAGATGTTCAAGACGCTCGGTGGGTGATGTATGAGTCAGTGGATGATCTTTGGTTGCCGTGGGGAACATATGTTGATCCGCCTGCTGGGCTTTATAGAAACAGACAACAGCTCCCCAGCGTGTCACTGACAACAATACACACACAGTCTAATACACACATTTTTATTCTCTCTAAACAATTGTACGTATGTTTCTGCCGCGTCGTCGTTGCTTCCAGAGTTGAAACGTTCAGAGAAGATGCACGAATGGCGACGTCACTACAAGTTAGTGAAGTGGAGCCCGAACACACCGGAGCGTTGATCCACTTCCAGCTCCTGAAGGACCAGATGTGTATCGTAACTGGATTAATATTCATCCTGATTCAGTTTCATTTGATGGTGTGACACAGAATTACATTTTATTTATTAGTTTTTTGTTTTTTTGCTTTTTTTTGTCACTTCTTTTTGTCCGTTTTCAGCCTCCATACCGAAGAAAGCACATGTTGAGATGTTATTATTGCATTTTATTATTATCATTATATTCACCATGATGAGACGTGTGTGTGTGTGTTTGTGTGTGTGTGTGTGTTTGTGTGAGTGTGTGTGTGCATCCTGAGGAAGTGACTGAAAAACAGGATCTAGCTGAAATACAAAGGTAAGTCCACACACACACACACACACACACACACACACACATGTCTGTAAATGAGAGGTAACGTTAAAACACACTCAACAAGAGTGCATGTACAGAATCCTCTGTGTGTGTGTGTGTGTGTGTGTGTGTGTGTGTGTGTGTTTCCCCCCTGGAGCAAACTAAAAGAAGGAAGTTCTTGTTTCCCATCACAAGACCAGCTCGTTTGTCAGAGGGGAGAAGAAAGGCCCAAAGAGAGGAAGTGCTCCCAAACAAAACATCTCCGAGGACTCAGCTGCAAAGAAAGGAAGGAAGGAAGGAGGGAGGGAGGAAGGAAGGGAGGGAGGAAGTATAAACCACAATTGAAAAACAAAGGGAGGGAGAGATAGAAAACGAAGGAAGGAAGGATGGCGGGATGACAGAGGAGAAAAGAAGAGAGGGAGAGTTGTGTGAATGTGCTCATTGACAGAGGGATGAGTCGGTGGAAAGAGAAACAATGAAAATGCAGAGTCACTGCAGCTCTTTGCTTTTACTTTTCTCTGCTCGTCTCTCACCTCAGTCGTCTCATTACATCATATGTTCTGTGTGTCGCTTTTATTTCTGACTGTCATTGTTTCAACGCTGCTGTTTTATTTATATTTTATTATTTTCTGCTCTAACTTATCTGCCTCAGTCCTGAAGTGTTTTGATTCTGTTGAAACCACGTGGAGCAGTTGGTGTGTACTGTATGATACTCAAAATATGTAAATATATTAATATAAAATACATTTATGATTAATCCAAACTACGGCTCAACCCTTCATCCAATCAGAGTACATAGCACTTTAAATAACTTAGGACCAAACATGAACAAACACAAACCAAACAAATGCTTTTATAATAATATGATCACAATATGATATTCCTCTCTCATCTCCCATGGTGCATCAGTGCAGAGAGATTCCTGACGTGGCTTCACAGTGAGTGTTAGACTCTATACTATTTCCTGTTTTATTTTGAAACCCCTCTCGTTAGGTGTGCAGTCGCTGACTTGACTTCCTGCCTCAGTGTGATTTGCACCTGTTGATGTTTACTGATGAGTTTCACCTGAGTCTCCAGCAGCTTCCTGTCTCCTGTCTCTCTGTCTCCTCGTGTCTCTGTCTGTTGGACCAAATGTAAGTCTGTGTATTTATATTTAAATATTCGTTCACTGCACTAATCTGAGTATTTAAAACCCTTTCACCTCAGTGGACCTCAACCAACCTCTGTGTTCATTTATATATTTAAAAAAACAGATGAATTAACTGGGAAGTTAACACAGAAACAAATGTTATGCAGTAGTTTGTGTGTAAATATATATACATACATGTCACCCTGCTGAGTACCTGTTTATTAAATATATATATTATGAATTGAATTAGATGTATTTTGCTTGTCTGAACCCAGTGACTACATTACCCAGAACCCTCAGCTGCTGAATGTTTGGGTTCTGTTCGGCCTCGAGCAGATGATGAAGCTTTATTTCTTTAAATCCTTTTAAACTCTCAGATTTACGACCTCAAACGATGAGCTCATGTTTCCACCTCTGTACGTTTGTTTATTTCAGATCCTGATGTGAGGAGAACCTCAGACTGCACATGAAGAAGAGCAACAGGACGGACCAACCAAAGTGAAGCCAGGGTGTCTGCATCGCCACCTGCTGGCTGGCTGCAGTATAGCTACATGTTAGTGGATGGGACATGGAACAAAGTAGGTTTTTGTCTTTTTTTTTAGCCACTTTCCACACAAGAGTTGAGTTCTGCATTAACTTTGGTTGTAATTAGTTAATTGATATAAAGACAGGTCATGACTGACTCGTGATTGGTCGTAACCTCGATGCTGTGGCTCCACCCCTCACTGCTGTACAGACTCTAAGTGTTTAGGCTTCATTTCTGGAGACGTGTCCTCTTATAGACATTTCTCACCTTCATACTCATATCTTACAT